ACCAGATCCCGCGCCAATGCACTTCCCTCATCACACCCGAACGCACACTGAAGGGTCCAGCATTGGCCAGGGACCTTTCTGGCTGCCCAAATATTTCCTGTCTGAGTTTGTTATTTTTTCACTGCGAATTATTAGCACGCTCGGCCAGTGGTACTTTTTTATCGACAAAAAGTTGAGATGAAAATAGCTTAACCTTGTTGTTTTTCTTTCTTTTTTTTCAAACGTCAACATAAAAAAGAGAGAGATTTATTATGCAAATGCTACAAACGATTAGCGATAAAAGTAAAAAAAAACAAAAAAACAATACCTTTTGTAATTCAATGGGAGAATTCTTTACGAACGGTTCGGAGGTAATCTATATCCCTTGTAACATATACACTCGCTACGAGACTGTGAGAGGAAAAAATACCTATCTAACCTTTTGCTCGTGGTCAGCGCTGAGGACGCCAGCCTGTCCTTTATCCCCGAAATAGTCCACGTGCAGAGAGACGCAAGTTACGCAAGAGCTATGCAGAAACACGCAGACCTGCGCCTACGTACACACAGACCGATGGTGGAGAATGAATGGCGTGTCTCGCAGTTTCCAGTTTGTGTGAAAGAATTCGGGGCGAGGGATTTGCATCACGATTTTATTAGGGAGAAGGGAATACAGGTGCCTAAGGTTGCAGACGGAGTGGGCGTGTCTCAGACTTTAGCCACGCCCCTATTCATATTCTGAGGGAGTCTTGTTGAGACATGGAATATACAGATTAATTGCAGTGCTTCACTGTTTGTAGATGTGCCGAAATAAAGAGAAACATATAACTTTTAGATAAGTAATAGCAATTCTTTGCAATCCTAATGTAATCCTTGCACTCAGTGGCGACGCCCCCCCCCAAAAAAAAAAAAAATAAATAAATAAATAACACTAAGAAGGTATTCCTGTGCATTCGAAAAATAGGCTAGTGCATTTTTACCGATGGCTATTTAGACATTTGCTAGCCATGGCTCCACTCCTGCCTTCATTTTGCATGGGATGGTTTGATATCTGCATTGTATGGGTCGCCTGCTGGTTCTGTCGATGATGAAATAGGCATAAAACATAAACTTTTAATATATGAACAGAATTTAAGACGGATGAGGAATTATCTGCGTAGTGTTAACTATGAAGAAATGCTGGCCTAAACGATACCTGGCGAGGACAGAAATGCTACTTCCACGGTTTTGAATTAGTCAACATGCATACTAGGAAAGCAAAACCCCGAAACTTTGCTTAGTTTGCGTCTCGGGGCTTTGGCGCTAAGATGCCGTATTTGTAGAAGTTTTAAGAAAAAAATCACTGAAATTCACCGACGCCATGAAGAAAATCCCGAGGGATGTCCAATGCAAATACTACTTGGTCAGACAAAAACAATATCAGCTTGTAAAAAACTGGCAATGGCTCTTCTATATGCATATGTCCTTTTATACAGTTAAATGCGTAACCGAGGATGAAAAATGTAAAGCAAGTTTGTCGTGCGAAGGAAAGCAATCAGTTCTTAGTCTACCTCTAGTTCTTCCACTGGATTCCACAAGAAATTTGTTTCCGCTGCAACAACTACGTCCTACGCATACCGTTTTAACCTTTCAAATATTTTTTTTTTATTGTATTCTCAATAGCACACTCTAGCACAGCAAAATCTAGTCTGTATCACGTACGCCCATGTCGGCAGCTGAAAAAAATGCGAACTAAAAACTTCGGACGGGATTCCACTTCAGCTGTTGTTTTTGCCACTGCGGGTAAATCGGTGTAAAAAAAAATTGAGCGTGTAGAAGGCTTCCTTAAATTTAGAGTAATGATACATATATTCGTGTTATGCATGATATTATAAACTTACATGAAGTATTAGAAGATAAGATTTTATAACGTCAACAAACGTAAGCATTCTATATATCAATCCTATGAGCTCGTAAACGCAATCATAATGTGTGCATATTAAACGAAATACATCGTAAATCGAGTTATTACTTTTTAAACGTTTTTTATCTGTTCAAATATACAGTTATATGAAGGCCACTGTCATTTTTTTTAAACAAAATATTACAGCAAAGGATAAGCTTTCAAACTTCAGCGATTCCTAGCAAGGACACAGCTTTTTCTTTCTAAGCTATATATACATATTTAAGAAAAGAAATTTGAAGAAACGCCTCCTACTGCCTGCGAACGTACACCCCAATTATAAACATTTCAAAAATCCGTTTCAAAGATAATAGACGTCTTTCATAAATCATCTTACTAAAGCCAATGGCACGACTATCTAACCAATGAAAGTTAAAATGAACGAACAATAAGGAACGTTTTACCGAGATGCTTTGACGTAGCAGAGCAGACGTCTTTCATAAATCATCTTACTAAAGCCAATGGCACGACTATCTAACCAATGAAAGTTAAAATGAACGAACAATAAGGAACATTTTACCGAGATGCTTTGACGTAGCAGAGCGGCTTACGATCAACAGTATTTTGGCAAGAGGGACCTAATGGCTAATCCCAAGCAGACAATGTCTAATTATTGTCTTTCGGCGTTGCTGTTATTCCTTTATTCTTGTTTGATTTTTCTCTTCCTCTCTCACAACAATAGTTTACATGGTATCCTATTTTTTTTCTGGTCTGGGGTGAATTTCTTGATTTTGCGAGTAATTTTTGCGAGTATTTTTTATTTTTCCAAGTAAAAGGTATTCACTCTTTTATTTCTTAAAACCAACTTCCTGTAATGGATTTTTGTGTCTTATCCATGATATGAAAAAATCGCTTTGATCTAAACTAGTGCTTATTAATTACTAATTCAGCGAATACGAAGTTAATGCTATAAAGCAAATAATTCTGATATGAAACGCCGACTTGCTACACTTTTTTTTTTTTTTTTTTTTTTTTGGGGGGGGGAGGAAAATCTGAATACGAAAGTTTCTTAACTATTTTTAATTTAGCATTAAGTTTCTTAGCTTCTGGGGATTCAGACTTTGCCTCCGCGATTTTCTGTCGAAGAAGAGAAGAAATCTGCCGAGAGAAAGAGCATTAGTGGAAGGGATAGGCCTCTCGGATACGTCCCTAGAGTCGCAAGATCGATAATTATGTAGCATCGCCGATAGTACAGATGCTGCTTCTCTCGTCCCAACATCCTCCATCCCGGCGAATATCTATTGGTAGCGATGCATTATTCATTTATTTATTTATCGTTTCATTTCTTGGTTTATGTTTGCATTCATTCATTCATTCTTTGAGACATAGATCTATTTATTTGCTTTATATGTGGGCATTGCTTTTGGTAATATTACTTTTAAATGACGATCCATGTTGCGAAATCTGGCTTGTGCTTTTGGAAATTATTAACACTTACTGTC